TTACACTTGTTAGACAGAGCAGCCTCCCGAGCATTACTACATCAGGCTGAACGATCTGATTCTTACTGACACGGCACGACGTTCGATGAAGCTGAAAACTTTTTCAAGAGAAAGTACTTTCTCTAATTTAATCCGCATTATAGTTTCTTCATTTAGCCATGTTCATTGCATTAAAATGTTTTAAAAACAACTATTAAATCCAGCAGTTTAATTAATAAAACTCAGTATTTATTAATTTATCTATATGTTTCATGTGACAAACTCAGACTTTTAAACACAAAGTTTTCTTGCCTTTATTATCGAAGCAATTGTTTTTCGGAAAACCATTACACCTTGGGCCCAGAAACAAATGTTATCTTTATAACACCGATTCAGTGAATGAGTGGAAATCACACTGAAAATACACCAGGAAAAAATGGACCAATAAAGGAGCCTCTGAATATAATAATGTTATAATTCGTAAATAGAAGTTAGCCCCAAAGTTGGCGAAGTATAAAGATGTAAATATACATCCCGATCGTTTTCAGAGAGTATGTTAAACATTGCCAAGTTGTACAATATTTGTGATGGAAGATGGTGCAAGCATGGTGAAGATTAAACAATGTATAACTCTATACAATTGTTTTATATATATATATTTTGTATTATATGAAAGAGGTATATCATTGGATAAATCAAGTATGCATACAAGTAATATACAAAAGTGTACAAAAACATAACTTTATATATATGTAGTTCTTTTTTAATTTATATATAATATAATACATATTGTATATATATAACATATACATTTATCTAAATCTTACGGACGAAATGTCTGAATTTTAAACTGAGAAGAAACACGCGAACTTTTATTTTTTATATTTCGCTTCTTCATTGACAATTTCATTATTTTTATTGGATCTCGAAGGTAATGTAAGTTCTGTAACCAACTGCATACATTACCACATTAAATTAATTTTACACCCATGAAGAGAATCTTCTGTGAAACTTCATGAAAAATGAGAAGCGTAGATAATTTTAAAAAATCGATCAGTGTTTGTTGCAGAAATTTTACATATTAATAGCACAGCTCCGTCTGCATTTTTTTGGGGCAAACATGCGTTAATGAAGTACTTTTTTTTCGCAAAAACAAAAAAAGTAACTCTATTTAAAACAAACGATTTCTTGTTACATATACAGAAAGAAGAAATATCAATCTCCTTGTGTGTGTGTGTTTCATTTAGAAGCTTTAAACAGCCTCCATCTTTTAGGGTATAAATCTGCAGCTATATTTTACCATTAAGAGACGTAACTGAGAGATGGGTGGGGGAAGGGGGTGTATATAAATAATATGTATAATCGAGGCAAAATAATTCCTCTCCCGACATCTGTTTTTTTTGTCCATATTACGAACTCAGTTGATGAAAGGCTATTTTATAGGGGACTGTTGGCAAAATAAATATTTAAACTGATGGCATTAGTTTCGGCCTCCAGTTTAGCACATTATACCTTTCTTGAACATTAAACGATGATGGCTGTAGTAATGTAGTGCTTTCAGGTAAGATTGATTTCACTCAGAGCGATAAAACAGATCCGCTAATAACAGGAGATTCGACATGATATTTACCTCGAATTAATTCATTTACTGACTACTGACGTCGTGATAAATAAATGAAGACTAAGTAAAAGTGTATAAATGAAGATAACAAGCTTTATTTAAGTCAAACACAGTGAAGATGTACACTTAACTTATCATAATAAACAATTATTGCCTTTACTGGAGAGTTAGTACTAGCTCGGTGATCTCAAATTTTAAACTGTATCTTTTAAGATCTTGTTTGAGGCTGAATAACGAGCCTGCTCCGAACTGAATGAGCGAAGATCTTACTCCAGACTGAATAATTCTCACGTTAACTACATCATTCGTCAACGTCAGATTTACTCAGAGCAATTAGCACTATACACGTCACTAGACATTTCCCAATGAAATACAAGAGATGTCTTTCCCACAAACTACAGGTGCTACTCTGGGTGAATGATACAAAACAATAAGCAGCTAAAGTAAATTAATTTAACGATATTTTTGACCAACATGGTGTGAAAATAGCACAAAATAACATATTATGAAATATTTATACATTAATACAGGAAAGTAGAAAACACATTATACGTTTATATACTACATTACGAGGTTTATAGATTCTATGTGAGATTGATTTATAGATATAAGCTTAAGAAAGGACAGAAGTAGACAGGATGTTATATTCATATATATATAAACAGAAAATAGAAAGAACACATTTGTATTATGAATAATATCCTTTGTATATATATATATATGTATGTAGCTTTTGAAGCCTCCCATACACATTTTTTTGACAGATCTAGAAGAATGTGAGATGAGATACATATTTAAAAAAAAAATCCTACAATGAGTCTATAACAATGGGTGAGTCTTCGTCTTTAACAAATCAATTTGGGAATTTTTATATGGCAAGTATTTGTTCTCCTTAGTGATTAACATTCAAACAAACAAAAATAAATATACTCGCGAATACGTAATGGGAGGTAAACCTGTTTTTTTGTTTGTTTTTGAATTTCGCACAAAGCTACACGAG